TAGAGCTTGCACACCATCAATTTGGAGTGCTTCTTGTGGATATTTGGGCTACGTGGATCATCAATAAAGGCTCGGATACTTGGACGACTAATCAAAGAAAAGGAATTTAGATCGACGCTACAAGAGGTAATCCTTTACTTTTATCTTGTTATTCATGTATGTATGATTAGTTGATTCAACGGCATGATCTTGGGCCCTTAGATGGAGAAAAATTTTATTTATTCCGTACCTCCATAGGATGTATGATCCTTTATTAAGCTCACCCTATAACTATCTTGACCAACTAGTCACTTAAAATATCCTTCATAAATTAGACAGGTGTAAATGCTTGGTTCAATGGGCTATTGAGCTAGGAGAATTTATACTCCAATTAAGAGATAATATTTTGCCAATTTTATTGTCAAATGTTCTTTCAACAACCTCACAAGAAAATAATAGATTTCCATAGAGACCTCAACCCCACATAAAGAAAAATTATTTATCTATTAGGCCTCTAATGTATATGAGAGTGATACCTATATAGTCCTTATTAATCTAAGCGAAGAGGTATTTGAGTACGAAATTTGTTTTAAGTTTTCCTCCTTTAATAATGTAATGGAGGTTGAGTTTTTGATATCCCACCTTAATCTTAAGGAAGCTTTAAAGGCTCATTCTTTTCATGTTCATAATGACTTGTAATTGATAATAAGACAATACAAAAAGTATTTTGAGCAAAGAGAGCCCTTTTATGGACGAGATAAAACCAATTTATTTTGGAGTCTTGAGAGTACCATAAAAGAAAAGAAAAATAGCCATCGTTTGGATATATAAAAAAGTAAACACATGGGCGGATCTTCTATCAAAACTGGGTAGTACCAATCCTATTGACCTTCTACTTAAGATGTTGATAGAAGTTTTTAAAAATCCTAAGCATCAAATAATAGGGCTTCTAAGTAGGCTTTATAGTCTAACAACTTACTCAAGAATAATTGGTAAACGTTACTTGAGTGATATTTGAAGGATGAGATGCTCTCTATAGATAGAACGAAAACTATCCACCTAACAAGATTTATGATTTAAGACTATGTTACTAACATATAATTGAAAATCCACTATAATACCTCTATTAAAGTTCGTTTCCCCTTAGTTTGTACATCGAAGCAAGGGCTTTGATCATCCAAGCCACCCGAGTAGGTTTTTACTAGCCCTATATCCTCTTAGAATTCAAGAGTTTGGTAAAAAAATGTGATAAATGCCAAAGATTTGCTCTATTCTCTCACCAACCATCAATGAAAATGATATTCGTTCCATTACTACGGCCTTTCTTTCAATAGAGAATGGACTTATTGGGTCTATTTTCAAAATTTTTAGGGAAGAGATAGTTTATACTAATGGTTATCATAGTTTATACTAATGGTTATCGATTATTTCTCAAAATGAGTACGAAGAGGCCTTGATAGATATCATAACTAGCAAACCAATATCCTTTATGTGGAAGAACATTATTTATTGCTTTAGATTCCCGGGGTTCTCAATGGCCAAACCAAGCTCACTTAACTTTGGAGCATCCATAAGGACTTGAAATTAAGAATTACAAGTTGAATTTGGAGAAGGATCGATGTAATTAGTCCTTATTTATTTTATTTGGTTGTTTATTTATCTTTTTTTTTCATAAGAATTTTTTATCGTAATTGACTTTTAATTTAGTCCTTTTATGGGTCGAATCTAAATTTAATTGGAAGTCTATCTTTATTATGGATCCATAATTAAATAAGTCCTTAGTTATTTAAGTCCATGTTTAATTTAAACCGACTTAAGTTCTTATTAAATTTGGATTGGACATTTAAATCATTAAGTCCAATTAGGTCAAAAGTTTATTTCGAGTCCTTGTTATTTCATATTTGGCTTAAGTTAATAAGTCCAACTAAATTAGGATTTCAATTGATTAGCCAAATATGACTAGGGATTTTAGGAGTCAATATTTAAGCAAATTTTTTTATTGCTTTTTTCAAAGAGTTACCAAATTTTATGACTAAAAATTTTTTTAGAGATTTTTCTTTGTATCTTTATGTATATTCTTTGTTTGGATTAGTTAGGACTTTATAAAATACATTCTCAAAGTGATCAACTAAGGTGGGCATTCGATCAATCATTGCATCGGGTGGATTCTTGATGAATGTTTTATGTAAGTATTTTGATCTTTTTTTTTAGTAGGTGGATTATGTCATTAAGAGGAGTTATTGTGCTTGCACTATTTATTTGGATTGTTGAATTGAAGAACAAACATGAATTTCAAGGTTGAATAGTTTCATCCTAAAAGCTAATAATCAAGTCAAGGTATTTTTTTTATTTAAAACATGGACACTCTTTTATTAAGTCCGATTAAGGCTTGTAAAAAAATTCAGAAGAAAATAAAAAGAATTGATAGGGTTTCGACTTGCTTGAACATTGTTGGAATTTTAAAAATCCTATTATATGGTAGAATTTTGAGACTCAAAATAAGGCTTAGAGGTGTTGGATTGGTCTAAATTTTGATACATATAATCTACTAGACCTTAGCTAGAATGTGTAAAAATTTCAAATTATTTTGATCAGTGTAGCCTAGGGATTGGACTAACTCTAACTAGTAGATTCTTAAGGTTTAGCTTGTGAAGTCTCATGTTTTACTTGTCTTTGTGGTTTAAGTTTATTTTCTTGCAATTTGGTTTGATTTAGGTGGATTCTTTAAGTTGGATTGATGTTAAATTATTGCTAGGATGTTTTGGCTAAGGAAGATTTTGGTGCTTTGCTTGTGTTTGTGTGTTTAAACTTTTATAGGGTTTAGGGATCCTTTAATTCGGCATCATCACTAATAGAATCCACTTCAACATGCTCAATAAAAAAATTAAAGGGGAAAATAGAAAATGAATGAAAATTTTGGATGAAATCTTATAGACATACAAGATAACTTGAAAGAGTTCTAATAGGGAGACTCTTTTTTTTATTGATTTTTAGGTAGAAGCCATGATCCTAACCGAGCTCGAATACCCCAATAATCAATTACAAAAATAATCTAGTGAGACAAATGAATAAGAGATGGGAACTGGTCTAAACTTCATAGAAGAAAATTGTCTAACCACCTCTATAAAATATGAGAATTAGAAATAGAAAATGACCTAAGTACCATAACGCTTAAGTCAAAACAAGCATTTTCCATATTGAGAACCTTTTCTTAAAAAATTTGGAGGACATATAAAATGCAAAAAAAATGAGGAAAAGCTTGCACTAAGATGGGATGAGCCATATAAAGTTATTAGGATCATCAAGACTAACGAGTATCACTTACAAGACACAAATGGCAAGAATTTGTCTTATGCATGATATTATGACCATTTGAAAAAGTATTATCAATAAATCTTGTTATAGTCATCTTGTAATGAATTTTTTAATTTAAATCTATTACATTATCCTACAAAATAAATGATTATATTTCCTCAAAATCCACAGTCACATTTCTTTGAGAGCTTAAGTCCTCCTCTTTGAAGAATCCATGACTTTATTCCTCTAGGAATTCTAGGCCATATTCCTTCAATAATTATATTCATTTAGAAATGTAACTCCTATAAAAGTCCATGGCCACATTCATCTAAGAATTCCTAGCCATATCCTTCAAAAATCACATTCCTCCAAAAACCACACCCTTAAAAAGCCCATGACCATATTCCTTTAGAAAGTTTATGGCCACATTCATTAAGGAATATCTAGCCATATTCCTTCAAAAATCATACTCTTTTAGGATTCTATGGCAACACTATTATGAGATTCAATGGCTGTTTTCTCTCAGAAAAAATGAAGGCAAAAACAAAAGAATCGAGCAGAGACACCTACTCGCTCGCTAGATGGTTGGATTATGCCTAATTAGAAGGTCGCAAAGATATCCTATATTGTTAGATGATAAGTTTCCAACCCAAAATTTTGCTTTTGTTAACACTCTAAGAGACCTTGAATCTCCATTATAAGTTAGAAAATAAAAAAAGAAAACAAAGGAAAAACCTATGTTTATTCCGAAACCCCATCTAGGAAAAAAACGAGGTATGAAAATCAAAGGTGAAAACTATACATACCTAAAAAATAGAGAAAAAAGACCTTACAAGATTAGGGAATATTTATAAAAGATAGATCTAGGAGATTTTCACTAAGTCTTTAAGTTTCTTTATAACTTCTTCATCACTCCCCTATATAGATGGCTCCTAGCCTTCTTTAAGGCTTTTATTATTTCTTTAGCCCTTTTTGGGATGTTAGGAGGGAAAGAAGAAGGTTGATGATGAGTAATAGAAAGGGAAAAAGGAGGAGCATTGAAGGTATTTAGCTTATTGGGTAAATAATTTTCTTTTTAGCAACCACGACTAATTTAGGAAAAAAATCAAAATCAAGAGGCTCATTTTCATCAAAGATAAGGGAAAAGTCTATAGTGATGCCCTTAACCTTTTTTTAAAAAAAGGCATTAATCGATTTATCTTTGAAGGCCTATTTCGACCTAATGATCCCATTTAACTTATTAGAAAACTTAACTAGGTGATTCTCGATCCCTGTTAGACAGTTAGCCTCCACTTGAGTCTTATCCCACTCTTTGGTTATTGTAGCTAGGGCCTTTCCCATCTCTTTCATCTCCTTTAATTTTTCCCTTACAACAGTTTAACATTCTTATGAACATAGGTAGTAGCATGTTTGACCATTCTATAAATTTTCTTTAAGAGCCTCCTTTAGCAAAGCCTCTAACTCTTTCATCTTCACTTGTAAGGCCTCAAACTCTTATATTTTCTCAATAAAAGACCCTAGATCTCTTGAATAAGCTCATAACAACTCTTCAACCCATTTCGTCCACCTCCTACCTCGGAAGATTATGTGTCTAGAGCTAGAGGATCTAGCTCCGGACACATAATCTTATTAGTAAGATCCCATTTTGGCCCGACAATCCTATTGAACTTATTAGAAAAATTAATTAGGTGATTCTCGATCCTTATTAGACGGCTAGCCTTTGCTTAAGCCTCATCCCACTCTTTGGTTACTGTAGCTAGGGCCTTCCTAATCTCTTTCATCTCCTTCAATTTTTCCCTTAAAGCTCGTTTAACATTCTTATGAACATAGGTGGTTGCATGTTTGACCATTTTAGCTATATATTTTTCTTTAAGAGCCTCATTTAATAAAGCCTCTAACTCTTTCATCTTCACTTCCAAGGCCTCAAACTTTTATATTTTCCGGATAAAAGCCCCTGGATCTCTTGAATAAGCTTATAAAAACTTTTTAACCCATTTTTATCCACCTCCTAGCTCGGAAGATTATGTGTACGTAGCTAAAGGATCTAAGAAAAAAATTGGATTAGTAAAAAAGAGATGACATAACAATAAAATTAATTATAAGTACTTACATTGATAGAAATTTTGATGATCTCTTTATTTAATTGGTGAGAGAGTTCTTGCACCAAGTACCTACATTCTCGAGAACTAATTTAGACTTAGCAATCGACATGTCCCGATCCTTTTAGTGTCCCATAAATTGAAATTATCCCCAAACAACTTGGCTTGTATTTCTAGCTACTCATTCATGAGAGGGATGGGATTGGTAGGGAAATGGTTGCCTACTAGAGGGTACAAGCAACAACCCCCTTACTTTTGCACTAAAGAGGAAGGTTCCCTTATCTTGAGAAGGCAATGACCTCTTTTTTATATATATAAATAACCTTTCTAACTTTGGAACAACGGAAAATAGTTGGATCCTTTCTTTAAGACCTAAAGGATTCTTTGACTATAAGAACCGAGTCGGGGAATATTTTTGAGGTTCTCTTCATTAGTCGGAAGCAACACCTTTTAGGCGCATAGCTGTTATTTCACTTTTGATCTCCTTAATAGTTAAAACCTCAAGAGTTGAGAATTAAGGATCTATCTAAATAGAGAAGTAAATATGATCTTTGTTTTAAGTATCATTCCCAAATAAAGTAGAAAAAAGTCTTTGCCTAGTGAAATATTCGATAACATTCTTCTATCTATCTTTTCTCGGTCAATAAATGAACTAGCTTTTTTTACAACTTTTACGAAATATAATAAAGAGATAACATATGGAATAAATAAGCCAAGATTGATAAAACAAAATTAAAGATCAAGGCAAATCTAGCTACTTTGTGAATTCGAACTCTGTAGTCACCATTTAGCCACTAAAATGATCTAATACACTCTTATTTTCTCCTTCATAATATTGAAAAAATCTTCCTCAACTAGCTCTAAAGTGGAAGCATACTATAAATCCCAATAAGCCCCTTCCCAAAGTGAGCACACCTCTACACGTCCATTAACCCCTCGGGGTGTAAATTGTTAGTATAATGAATAATAAACCATTAACATCTCTACTCTTTAACTTGGTTCTCTTTCTCAATAATCAACCCTTTCAAAGACTATATTTTTTAGCAAAAAAAAGGTAAAGAACTAACCCACCCTACACCTACCTCTCACGCTTCCATACAAGAGGTAACAAAACCTAAAAAATCTAAAAATGCACAATTTGATGAATTTTACAAAACTAGGCAAAGACCAACATTATTACCTACCTATTTAGATTGAGTTGATTGGAAAATACATCATAAAAGTAGAATACAATCCCTACAAATATGATTAGCAGATAGTTATGCTCGAGCAAAAATATACACATAGAAGTGTATACACTATAATATCCATGCTTGTTCTATAAATGACTATTTTCTAATCCTATCATAGTATGAGAGACCCTCATTTGGTATTTGGGATGCAACATTTTTTTTGTATTCCACTAGCCTATTGACATCGAACCTATTAAGGAAGACAATATCGAACCGGTCCATAAGCATCCTAACTACTCTAGGTGAAAGGTTCACCTTCTTTATCTCCTCTAAGAGCTCAAATATACCATTTGTAATTACCTTAGATCTAGATATGACTACCTCCATATTGGTCATTTTCTTTACTAACCAAAACTTAAGCAAGTAGGGAGTGAGGTTACATTGGAAAAAAATTCTCTAACTATTAGAAAACTTGAAGTAGTAGTAGTGATCTTATTCTCCTAAAACTACCTAAATACAAAGAATGATGTAAACCAAAAAAAGGCCTAAAACTCTTTTCTTCTCTAGATTGAAAACACACTCTCAAAGAACCCAATAAAGATAAAAAATGAAAAGGCCATATATAGAGAAAAATAAAATGAAAAAAAATCCATGGTTTATTTATCCCTCATTTGATTCATCTTACCATATCGGAAGACTACATCTTGTGTGGCATACTACAACTGATACATCCATTTACATTTAAACATATGTCACCTCTAATAAATGATATCGTAATATTAAGGATGACCTATTAAAATTTCAAAATGCCACAACTTTTGACAATCAACCATGTACCCACATGTATTCTTTTAGACTCCGATAAACGAACAAAATTCCTAAGACCATAAGTAATCATGACCACACCTAAGTTACAATGATGACAATATCGGTGATGAGACCTCAAACACAACTCCGTGGACTCCTAATCATCCTAAAACCCAATTGAAAATCAAGTCTTCCATATAATAATGATCAAGACTTAAAAGACAACTAATATACTCAAGAAAATTATAGATCTCATTGAAGGTGACGTGTAAAGACATTAGGGTCTATACCTAACACACTATTTAGAAGTGAGTCTAGAAGTCTTAGGGCTACCTAAAAGGTACCAACATTATTCATACACCGCTTAGACAAATGGTTAAGATTATACTTAGGCATTCGACCAATAGTCGGGAGTTGACATGAATCCCACCAATTAATGGGACGGAAAGTACATTCATTAAATAAATACATCCTCCTACATACAATCAATAGCAATTATGATATCATCATATACTCTCAACTATGACCTATCAATGTTAAATGTATTTATCATCTAATAAGAATAAAGCATGATTGCAATAAGATAAAAGATCATCCTACCACTAATTCTATGCAACTTGACAAAGCTATTGGCTATATAAACGACTAAGAGGCTAAAGATTTTGAGTTCTAAATCTTTAAACTAACAACCATTATTCACTATCTTTTACATACTTTTATTACTACATTTTTCCCTTCTCAAGCTCTCGCCTCCCTCCATAGACTAACTTAGTCATCATATGGTTTTTCAACCCATAAAAAAGACTTGTTTTATAGGTATACCATCTAGTTTAATCACCTTCTATGACATGAAGAGATTCTTCTCTTCAAATATGGTTGAATTTTACAAGCCCAAAAGGTTGAAAAATTCAGCCTTATATTTATTTAGTTTATGCTTTATGTATTTATTTTTCCCTATTTTGGATTGAAAAATTATTTATTTTTACTTTTTTTTTATATAGACTTGGACTAATTAATTAGTTTCATGAGTTGGATTCGTTATTATTTCTTGGTTTGGTCGAATAGGCCTAGGATTTATTAGGTAATGGATCCTTGTTTTTTATAGATCCTTATTTAATTAAGAGTTCTTATTTTATGTAAATATTTATTTAATATAGACACCATAAATTAAATTCTTTATTGAATAATGATTACATAAGAGTCCAACTAGATCTAAAGTTATTTTTCTCTACTAGTTTCGACCAAGCCTAGTTTTTGTAATCTAATTAGATAAATTTTTCTAACCCTAACCAAAATTATATAACTAGTATTTACATAAAATTTTGCTATTATTATTTTTTTAATTTTTATTGACTATTGAAATAAAATATTTGAGAGATTTTTCTCCAAATTTTGTTTCCTTGGACTAAGGAGTGTTATTGTGTATCCTTAGAGTGATTAGCTAACATGGGTTTTTATTAATCGTATTTAAATATCTTATGATGCTGGAAACTATATCTATAGAGTTATTTAATGTATGTATCTTGTGTTAGTATAACTAATCTTCTTTATGGTGGTGGTAATCTATATCCCGAGGATGGTTAATTGAGCACTTATATTTATCTTTTTATTTATTTGGATTGTTTGGTCAAATCTTGAATCTTGATTATCCCGTGTTAGATAGTTTTATCACTAAGCTTTATTGGGGCTTGGGCTTTTAGTTGATTTCAAACTTTGTAAATCATATTTGTTAGGCCTAAGTAGGTCATATGTAAAAATTCATAAAAATCTAAATAGAGTAAATGGTGTTTTGGCAACATCAAACTTTATAAGGTTTTGAGGTTTTGTTTGGGTTTATATTTGGCTAGCTTTATTTTCTGATTTAGATTATTTATTGATTTAGGGGTGTTTATATTTATGTTTGGGGTTGAGTTTAGATCAAATTATTGTGTATTGGTTTTGGCTTTAGTGCTCGTTTTCTTAAGCTTCGTAGATTTAGGTATCTTCATCAATTCGACATCGGCTTTGATATCAAAAATAGGGTTGACTTCTTGTTCATGTATTATCTAATTGTAAAGATGGTTTTTCGAAGAGTATTGAGCATGGATGTTGTTACCGAAGAACATTGGGTGAGGTATAATATCTTTCACATGTTGTATATCTTTTGAGAAGGTGTGTGAGTTAATTATCAATAGAGATAGCTATGGGAATGTGATGTCCTCTAAAATAAAGAAGAAATTGAACTTGATGATAATAAATTATCCCAATCCATATTGCTTGATGTGGTTGCAAAAAGGAAATGAGACACGTGTGTTTAAAAGATGTTTGTGCCATTTTTCATTAGAAAGAAGTATGCTAACAAGGTTTGGTATGATTTTATTCCTACAAAATTTTATCACTTGCTACTAGGAAGACATTAGTAGTATAATCATAAGGTCGTACATGATGGATTCAAGAATACTTATGCTTTTACCTTCAATAGAGAGAAAATCACATTGATGCTTTTGAGGAAGGAAGTTTTGGCTAACTATATAAGTGAGCAAGATGAGCTTGTTTCTAAATCTATTTTCATATAGGAAATGAAAAAAAATTAGAGTTAACACATTTACTTATCATCGTGGAAGAGAATAAAGATTGAGATGATATTTCTAAGAAGGTTAAATCATTATTGGAGCAGTTTACTAATGTGGTGCACGAGGAGATTCCTAGGGGATTACCTTCTATGTGAGATATTCAACATGCTATTGACTTTATTCCAAGATCATTTATTCCATATGGACCTACTAACTCTATAAGTTTGTAATAGTATGAAGAGTTGTAGAGGTAGGTTACAAAATTAATGGAAAGAAAGCTCGTCGAGGAGAGTGTGAGTTCATATACATTTCTCACCTTGTTAGTGCCGAAGAAGGATGAGGCGTAAAGGATACGTATTGATATAAGATAGTTAATAAAATCACTATCAAGTATCAATTTCTCATTTCAAGACTTGATAATTTACTTAATTCGTTGTATGGTTCTATAATATTTTTAAAGATTAATCTAGTGGTTATCATCAAATTTGAATGAGATAATTGATGAGTGAAAGCACCACTTTCAAGACTCAAGATGGTCTCTATGAGTGGATGATTACTCTATTTGGGTTATCAAATGCACC